ACCTAGCACACGCTAGCCGCAAGTTATAGTCTTATTAAAAGACTATAAAACGCACTTATAAAAAATAAGAAAACTATAAGGCAATAGCTAGCTATATGCTAACCGATCGTTAGTTAACCACTCTAGCCATTTCTTACGCAATTGCGCACTATAAACTACTCGTTCTAGCTCTAAGGGCGCCCCTTAAAGCTACAAACCTAAAACACACTATTAGTAAGCTATCGCTTAGCCACTAGCTACTTATTACTATTCTTCTTTGCAAACGTCCCTTCTACCCTCTCGTCCTTCTCCTTAACACTATCCTCTTTGTCTTTCTTCTTACTGCTAGGCAAGCCTCTACTAGCTAGCATATAGCTACTACTAGCCGCTAACTAGCCGCCTACTAGCGCACTCTTACTAGATGCCGCTTTACTACTACTACTAGCTGCTATAACCGCTCTACTACTGCTAGCTATAGCACTAAGAACGGTTTTAGCACTACGCTAGCGCTTAGCTAAGGCTAGCAACTTAGCGCAGAACTGTCGCTTACTAGGCGCCGCTAAAAGTAGCGGCTAAGGAAAGACTACTACCTAGTTAATCTAAGCTAGCTTAACTAAGGCTGCTATAGTTTGCAGGATTTGCTTAGGCAGCCTCTTCGCTCTTATAGTATAGTAAAGCGTGCTGCTATAGCCGGCTTAGATAGCTATAGCGCACTAGGCTAGGCTAAGCATAATAAAACAAGGATTAGCCTAGGTAATAGGTTAGCAATAACTTAATAATAAGGATTAAAGGACTTGCTATTACTTTAAGGGTAGTAGCAACTTAGGTCTACGCCTATAACAGTGTGCCTACGTCTAGGGACGTTAGCGGTAAGAGCCGGGCTATCTTTGCTAACCGCTGCGTAGGCGTTAGGGTAAGCTTTAGCTCCTACTAGTACTAGTAGAGGACACTAAGGCGCAATGCAGCCTATTATGCTATCTTAAAACGTTTGCGCTAAGAGTGCTAGTTAGTTGCTAAGAGCTCTAACTTATCTTCTTATAAAGCGCGGCCAAGTTCCTTAGTTACCGCCGTTAAGGCTATTAACCTTTAGGCGATTGCGTAGCAATCGCCTAGCGCTATAACGATATTGTTAACCGTTATCCGCTAAAGTAGCAACTCGTTTGTGCCGGCTAGAAATTCTTAAATGTATTAGGCTAAGCCATTAATCTCTTTAAAGAGCTATTAGTTAGCAATTAGCTACCGGCGCACATAAGTTAACGCACTTACTAGCAAGCATAACGTGTTATTAGCTATATAACTAACGTAGCGTGCTAGGTTCTTTAGTATAGCTATATATAAGAATTTATAGTAGACGTTTAAATAGGCTTTAAGGATGTACTTTAAATATAAAGCCTACTATAAAGTTAGCTATTGCTTAGTAGACGCTATACTAGTAAAGACCTACGCTCTTAAAAGATAGTGCGTATGCCTAGAAAGGGCGTTTTATAAGGTTTGCATCTATAAAAAAGTCTATTAAGACTTAAAAGCAGCTTTAGTTAGACATTGTTTATAAGCGATTATTAGCTAGCTACTACGTAAAGTTATAAACTATTGCATTAACCTACTATATAAGTAAGATTAAAGAAAAAAGGGCTAAAGAGGTAAAAGTAGTCTTATAAGTATAAACAAATTTATCTTAAATTATAGAATGCACCTACTCTTTTATACCTTAAGGCAACAAAGAAGCTGCGTTTTTAGACGTTTAAATACATCTTAAGAACTTGCTTAACCTTACTTTAATAGTAAGGTAAGAAACGTTTAAAATTAAATAAAAAAACCATCTTAGCAGCAGACTGCCTTTGCTATCTAGTAGGCAATAGTTCTATAATCGGCAGGCAACAAACGGCCGCTATTACCTTTATCCTACCTTGCTAGTAGTTAGAAGTTGTAAGCCTTACGCCGCTGTTTTTAGTTAGCGTACACTGCACCCCTATGCACCTAGTGTTAAAGGCTAGCCTCCTTACAACACTTATCGGCAGCAACCTAAGCGTTCCCCGACTAGGATCTAAGCTGTACGCCTCTTAAAGAGCTTTAACGAATAGGACGACCCGTACATTAAGCAGGATCCGGCGTTTACTGCCGCTATAAACTAAGCAGTACGTGTGCGCTTCTACGTTACCTAAATGCAGTCGTACAAGCAAGCGGTCCGCGACCGCTTGGCAACAGCTAATAACCTAGAGCGCTTAACTCTTTTTCCTAACTCTATAAGGGGAGGTTTTTTAAATAAGCAAGTAGCTGCCGCGTGTGCGCCTTTAAGCTAATGTGGGCGTTACTTAGGGAGGGGGGGGATAGTGTAAGAGTATTCTATACACGCGTCTCTATGCACTGGTTTGGTAACTAGTCGCTTACTAAGCGGCGGACTTAACGAACTATCTTAACACGTTGTATAAGACTAGCATAGCTACTTAGCTGCGCTACGCTTTACTAGGTTTGCGCTATACCGCATCTTCTAGCTATGTATATATTAGCTAGCAGGCCTTTGCCTACTAATCTTTTATAGTTTGTTAAGTTAAAGTCTTAATATAATAGTATAAACTAGTTAAGCCTTTATAACTACGCATTGCATACTAGCCTCTTATATTTAGGCTTTTTGCTTAAGCGCTATTAACGTAAAAGCTTTAATAACTACCTTAGATATTAAGTTTTTAACGTTGCTAGCTAATTATAAATAAGCTTGCCTTTAGCATAACTATAATACTTACTAGAAGCTAGCTATAAAAAAGAAGTTTAACTCTTTAATTGCTAAAGAAGGTTAGTAGCTTATTAACCTACCCTTTAGTATAATATCTCTTTCTAGAAAATAAGTATATACCTATAAAGAAGACAGCTATAATAAGGCTTACTAGGTTGTTTATAGTAATTTTAAAGACTATAGCTAGTAAAGTCTAAAGAATACATTTACTGCCGTCGCCTTATCGCTTAGTCTTTATGTTTTTCTAGCCTACTATATAGCCTAAGACTTAAAGCTTAAGTAATATAACATTACTATAGCGTTTTTAAACGCTTTAATCCTTAATAAAGTTAACGTTTACGTTTAATAGCCTTATAATTTTAATAACGGTATAAAGCATATTTACTTTCTTTATTATGCCTTTTATAGGCTAACACGCAGCCTATGCTAGTAGTAAAATACTTTAACTCTTGCTATAGTTAAGCTTAGCTTTGTTGTTTTTAACCTCTTTTATAATCTTAATTTTAGCGTCTATATACTAGTTTACGTTAGTAATTTGCTAATTACTAGCTCTTTACTTACTAAGATACGCGCTATAAGCATATAATTAAGTAACGTTTATTTACTTTATTATCTAAGTGCTACAACATTTTTTCTAAGGCTAAATATCTTTCATAACCGCTATAACCGCTGCATTTTTATTAACTAGGCAACTTATATTAATAAGATCCTTAACCGCTTTACTTACTAACATCTTAATAGCGTAACTACCTCTTAGCCTTTAGGTTTTAAGCTTCCTTTATTAGGCAAAAACGCGGTTACTAGCACTAATAACAATAATAAGACGCTAGCTAAGGCGCTTTTTATCTTTATAAAGTATCTTTAAAACAATATCTTAATTAACTATCTCTTTATTAGCACGCGCTTTAATATTACGTATACTATTAGCTGCCTTTTTAAAGGTAATTGCAGCCTTTCCTCTTATTACTAAGATTTACTTAAGCACCTTTACTTGTATATCTCAAGCTTTAAGAAATACTCTCTTTGTTTTAGTAGCCTAGAATACATTAATAACGCCTCTTTTACAAATAACCTGCTATCGCGCTGCTTTACTAATAGCATTGTTGTTTTTATAGCCGGCGGCCTAGTATTCTAAAAGTCTAAGCGCTAGCCTTTTATTACCCTATCTATAATAAAAGCTAAGTTTACTAACCTAACGCCCTTTAGCCGTGCTTTGCAGCACGTTAATTCGATTTTAACTAACCTTAGCGCTCTTATTACTACGCCTTTACTTCTATTTACAAACAGTCTTAACGCATTAGCTATAGTCTTAAACCTTAATAAGCAAGGACGCACTCGTTATATTAATATTCGCTTTAAGTAGATTATTAAGCAGGTTACAGCCTAAGCCTTTTACCTTTAGCACGTCGGTATAGACGAAATAATAACAGACGGGCTTACAAAGGCTTTGTACAAAGACAAGCACTACGATTTTATTTAGCTTCTACGCCTTAATTTGCGCTAATACCCGCTTGTTTTACTATTTTATAATACCCTTTTAGCTTTACAACAAACGGATAATTACCTTTAAAGGGTTCCTATGCGCACTATCTGCGCCCTATTTCTTATCATTGCTCTACATACGCCTAATATACTAATACCGCACGCTACCTCCTATAAGGCCTTGTTTAGGCCGATTTCATGTATCTTTTCGTTTTTCTGCACTGCGGCAGTAAGAGGCTGTGTTGCACGTAACCTTGTAGGTTACTATGCAGACTTTTCACTGCCGCAGCGCATCCAGTAGCTTTAGCTTCCTTTCAGAAAATCCCATACTTTTCTTCCTTAATTTAGTGTATATATATTTTTTTATGCTTAATCACGTAGAGATGAAATAAGTAATCTTAAAGAACTAGATAGGTAGTCTTATATAATATAATAAAATACAAGCTATATGTAAAGGTTAAAGAAGGGTATACGTGGCGGTTATATAACGTGATGCACTGTAAGGAGCAAGAGGCTGAATAGGGTCTAGTGTGGGCGAAGAAATGTTGTGTACTAAGGAAGAAATAGATATATCGCGACCCTTCTGGGGGTTCGTATTAATACTAGTGCCAGGTCCCGCTTTTGTGCCTTCTGACCAATCACAGTCCCGTACGGCCAAGTGGGGCAGAAGGTCTACAGTGCAGCAGATTCCAATGCTTGACACTATATATCTAATTATGACACTAGATACAACTTACAAAGCTAACTGTTATAGCTATAATGAATGTATTTGCCTTAGTACTATGTTGATAATAGTAGCGCTGGTACCTTAAGACAAGCGAAGGCTAAAGGCAGAGACGGTCATAACAGCGTTAGAGCCAACAAACGGCTCGGTGCCAGCGCCGGTACTTAGGAGGTACTGGCTACTAGGCATGCCTTGATTAGAGATAAGGTAGGCAAAGAACTTGCGTAGGTCGCCAGAGAAGCGAGTTTGCTCAGTTACAGCCACAAAGCTGTAGACGGTGGTAGCGCCATTTTTGCCGCTATACAGCTTCCACTTAACACCACCAATAGTCGGGGTAGCTACGGCACTGCCAGTTGCCGAGATAGGACCAGCGCCGCCAAGGGAAGCTAGCCAGACCATAATCTCGTACTCGTTATGGCCGGTGGATGTTGACGACGTAAACAGGTCGTACGAAACATCCGCCACAATGCCAGATCCCGAATAGCTAGATATGTTAGCAAACAGGAAGACCGAAGCAAAATAGGGAGGTTGGCCAATTACTTCCAGTCCCACGTTGTAGGAATGCTGCTAATGGCCGATAGTTGCTTAACAGCAATGTTCGCAACCGCATTAGCATAGGACTTAACCTGGGTAGAATTGCCAGCCCAGGACCACGATGTCGACCACGAGAGCGTCGAGCCGCTAACAGAGCCAACGGTGCTACACTGGCTTCCGGTGCCGTTGTCTTTGTTCCACAGGTCTTGATAAATGGTATAGGTGCCAGTCTCAACCGAGTCCCACTGGCCACAAATGGTCGTGGAGCGGGCTTGGAGCACCTTGGACGGGGGAACGGCGATGGCGGCCGCAGCGACGCCAGTCACCATAGTGGCCGAGGCGGCGGCAAGGACAAGAGGGAGCTTCATGATCAACGAAGGTGTTTAAATGAAACAAGTGCACCCGTAGTGGTTGTGTTGGACAAGTGTAAACCTTCTTAAGAAATAATAGTAGAGGACAACGATTGAGGAGAGAAAGGATCACAAGTCTGCTGTGTCCATATATAGACACTCTGGCACAAAGCTGTACTTAAATACAATACTACGCTTCTAAGTGTTGCATTTTTTCTCTTTCCGTATTAGGAGTAAAAGCCGCTTCTTCCGTGTAGGCCAGTGTAAGTGGGGCAATCGGCCGTTTTGTAGCAATAGGCCCTTAAGAATATCACCTCAGGCCGCCTAGACAAATAGTCCTATCGGCTGCCTATTCTGGGGTCGGCCGTTTCACAATGGCGCCTTCTCCTCGTATAGCTATCTCGCTACCGGTGTTCGCTTGCACTAGCAAGAGGAAAGAGGGAAAAACTACAACCTTATGGTTTTCTTCCTACTACGTAAGGCCTCACCTCACCCATTTTGCGACCACGTGTTTATGCGAACTGCATATCGACAAAAGCATTGGACGATGGACACAACAAGACCATTATAGCCATACCTTTATATAACGCTAGCTGAGTATGTATGCTTCTTATTACACGTTACTTCCAAATAAAGGTTAATAAAAAGGGCATACACTTACATTCTATATTTTAGTAGAGCCTTACTCCGTATTTGAAATAAGATTCTGTGCTACGTCTAAAAAAAGGTTAACCCCGTTAGCTAGTAAGATATGTAGCTGCTCCGTATACAGAGTATAGGACGGTTATCTATTGCCGGTTTTAGCGCTATAACTGCAACAGGCTTTAAACTTTCCAACATGCTTACAGTAAAGATCTGCAGTATAGCGGGACAATGGCATGCGTCTCTACGGAAGTACGTAATACGATCTTGCGTCGTAAGATATTAGCTATACTCCGTATACAATCGTCCCTTACGAGTGCGCTTTTTTACAGGGATATCTATCCTATTTACACGGCCCCAACTAACCTCATTACCTCCACTACAACGTAGGGTGGCGCCAGCCCACAGAGTCGGCCAATATAGCGACACGGGACAAGGACGATTTATCTACACAGAGTGTACAAAAGCCGAAAATCCGAAGAACTTGGTTCCCTTGCCACGAATGAAAGAATAACCACATAATCCAGCCCTTCACACACCATTCTAGACAGCTACCAGCGTCTCCACGTAACTTTCCAACACAAACGATGCCCACTTCCTCTTAAAACCCTATGCGGGAGCTACAGTCTCGTTATCTTCGTCGCGCTGTAACTCTACAAAATATTCTTCGTTTCCTACTCGCCTTAGGGTGGCTACCGAAAATCTTTAGCCTTGCATGCTGCACCATGGCTGTCAAGTACGGCCTAGGCCGCCATGCCGTCTTTATATCCAAGAAAGAAGATTAGCCTAAAAGCCTACTAGTCGATTATCTTGTAGCCAATAAGCTTGTACAGAGTATTTGTAATACTGCTTTCCTAAGCTCATTGCCGTCGTCTTATTGTTAAAGCTAGTAGCGGCAGGCAACGCAGTGCGGAACGCGCTGTACAGCCTTGCGACACTTCTGTTTGCCGTCTCCTTTTTCTTATTTTCGTTCTAATTCGTGCGGCTCAACCACTTTTAGCACCGTCCCAAGCCGGCCGACTGCAAATTGTATTTAGTTGAAATGCCGCCGATTGTAAGTATCAAAGCTATGCTATTGCTTAATCCAATTAGTTTATAGCAAAGTTAACGTAAAGTGTTCTATTGTGCAGCTTTTTAGCCTTTCAATCTTAATTCTGCACTGTTCCCTATTAATGTAATTTTTAGCTTAAATAAAATAAGACTCTTTTTAAAATCGGCATTTAGTTCAGTAATCGTGCAAAGCCCCACCGTAATTCATAGCCCACTTAAAAAGCGCACCTATTATTAGAATAGGTGCTAATGTCAAGCATTGGAATCCGCCACACTGTGGCCCTTCCGCCCCACTTGGCCATACGGGCCTGTAATTGGTCAGAAGGCACAAAAGCGGGGCCTGACACTAGTATTAATACGGATCCCCAGAAGGGTCGCGATGTATCTATTTCTTCCTTAGTACACAACACTCCTTCGCCCACACTAGACCCTATTCAGCCTCCTGCTCCTCACAGTGCATCACGTTATATGACCGCTACGTATAGCCTCCTTTAACCTTCACAGCTAACCAGCCAAATGCACTTACCAGCCAAAAGCTTAGTATCACTATGAAAATTGGTCTTTCAGCAAAATTAGCCATTGCGCCCCCGCTACTAACGTTATAATAAAACCAACTAGCTATCTGTATTGCCCTAGTTCCAGGCGCCCTGGTTCCAGGCTGCCTAGTATGCTACTTTTAGGCCTTCTTAATCTTTTGTTGTTCTTTTTTAACCGTTTTTTTTCTATGCGCTTATAAGAGCCTTCTTTGCCATTTCTTCTGCGTCTATAGCCAAATTTGACTGCATTTCGCGTGCGTCTTTAATAGTAAACACCCCTTTGTTTTATAGGCGTTAATTATTTGCTAAGTAACGCCTTAACCGCACTGCCTTATAGGTGTAGTGTTGTTGTAAGTTAAGTTTAAGCTAACTTAATAAAGTTTGTTACTTTACGGCTGCTTACTTTAGAAGGGTAACGTTACTAAGTGCATTTTTATTTCTGCCGCCGTTTAAAGGTTAATTACGTTATTGCTTATTTTATATATTTAGCGTAAAGTTATAAGTATCTTAAATAGTAATAATAAAGTAGGGTCTAAAAAATATCGAAAACGTAATCGCGCATTTTTACGTCCTCCATTAATTAGAAACTTACACGTATTCTTAAAATAGCTATAAATCAACAAACAAATGCTTAATCTAAGCAACATTACTAGCATTTTAACGGTTAATAAGACGGCTAAAGGCTAGTTAGGTCTAGTAACACGCATAGTCACCTTTAGTGCTATAACTAGCAATGCGTTGTAGTTAGCTATTATATGCGCATTTAGCGTTAATCCTACTACTATCTATACTACAATTAATCGCTTTACAGCTATATATAGCTTTACTAATAAGTCTAGCCGCGGTAGGCTAAGGATTCTTAGCTGTTTAAATACACAATACCTTATTTAATAAATTATAAGGGTATTTTACACACAAGCCCTATACACTAGTTTAGCAACCTATTGCTTGCTAAGCGTTAAACTTAATAAACTACCTTAACATGTATATAAAGTACTACACAGCTAATTTGCTTCCTTAGCTCTACTCTCGGCCTAGAATAACTAGGTTGGCTAAGCTATATAACCTACTATGTACCCTATAAAAGACTATAGTGTTAAGGGTGTACTTAGGTAGGCTAGGTAAGTTAGGTAGGCAAAGAGGTATCCCTTTAACAGGAGAAGGCAGCGGTATATTTAATAGCTAATTCTTGCCTTCTATACTCTAAGAGAGTGCAGAAGGCGCTCTTTATTGTAAGCGCATGTAAGGGTATTCTACACACGCGTCCCTACGCACCGGTTCGGCAACCAGTCGCTTACTAAGCGGCGGACTTAACGAACTATCTTGACACGTTGCACAGGACTAGCACAGCCACTTAGCTGCGCCACGCCCCACTAGGTTTGCGCTACACCGCATCTTCTAGCCACGTATATATTAGCTGGCAGGCCTTTGCCTACTAATCTCCTATAGTT